ATTTTTTAATTATGTCTTATGCTTTACCCTCTAATAATAAATAATAAAAAACAAGTTTTTATATATATTTATTAATATTACCTATTTACCTATTTACATACTATGAATCTGAAAATAAAAATAAAAGGTGAGTATTTTATTTTTAAAAGAATGAAATAATTAATAAAACAAAATACCTTTGCTTAAATATTTATTTATAAATTCATACATATTTCTACATATTTAAAAAAAAATACAATTTATTTATTTAACTAATACGGCTATTATTAAACATAAAATCTATTCATATTTAGAGTGGCGCTTAATTTAATACCTATGTTATTATATACAAAATAATCAAATTTATTTACTAACTCGAACCACATCGTGTAATTGGTATATCTAGGGTGTTTTTCTATAAAACATCTGAACATATTTGTATTATAATTGTGATTATTGTCATCATCTAAAATCTCCACCACAATATCTTGTAATATGGAATTAAATGTCTCTTTCATGCATAATTCTTTAAATTCGGCGACTGCTGATTCATGAAACGTTTTTAACTTGAGTAGATTTTGCAGAGTAAAATTTTGGACAACATCAAATTTCCCTGATGATTTGTCCGTAATTTTTACTAATGTCCGATTATTCGCTAGAGTTGTAATAAAATATTTTGAAACTTCGACTTCATCTCTTTTATTATCAATAACATCTGGTAGAACGCGGATAAGCTCATTAAACTCTTTCTCTGTAAAAATGAGTCCGTCATATTCTAGGCCTTGTTTACACAACTTTACTGTAATTGCGAAATCACTATAGGGGTTAAAACCAATAATGTAATATCGGCTGTTTGATAATGTAAGCGGCATTCGAATTTCTTTTAATAGATTTCTTTTTTCGTATTCGGCTATTTTTATCTTCTGTTCAAAATCATACTTTGTTTTGTAGTCAACCATTTTCAGCTGTTTTTTTACTAAAATAAAAAAATATGTAAATATATATATATATATATATATAATATACAAATATATGTTAATTTTCAAAATATATGTAAATATTACAACACTTGATTTAAAATTATTTTAAAACAAAATATTTACTCACTTTTTTATTAAACTGGATGTGGGTCTAATTGAATATGCTACACGTTTAAATATTTAAACTCAACTGATATTTTTGGTATTTGTTTTTTCCTTTTTTATATCAAATCGACTAAACCAGTTAGGACCTGTATGCTTGTGTGTACGTGATACATTATAAGCTACTTTCGTCTTTTTTTTTTATGGAATTTGAAATAGTGGCGCTGAATATGTTTGTGTTTTAAAACTTTTTCTTTTAGAATGTACATAAAAAAAGCAAAAAAAATTTTTCATTTCAAACGCAACTAATTAAAAATGCCGCATTTAATTAAAAAAAAATAACAAATAATATAGGTAGGTACTTTTTTATTTAAAATATAAGTTACCTTTTTTTAAAAAAACTATCGTGATGAAAATTTGTTTTTGCGTAGATTTTATTTAAATATAACTAGGTATATTTTTTAATTTTATTCATTCTTTTCAAAAAGTTCTCTGAAGACGAACATAAAATCTTTCCTTATTTAAAATATAAGTTACCTTTTTTTTTAAACTATCGCATTACACGACTAAAAGTTACGACCTTTTTAAAAAATACAACTTTATGGCAATCGATAACAAAAGAAAAAGAGTAAATGTATTTGAGGATGGACCACCCACCTATTTCATTTCCCATCAACAGCCTACAAAGGTACATGGTCTTCACGCTGCCCTTATTACCTACCCTAATTAAAGTGATCGATTTATTGGGATGCATTATCAATAGAAAAAGAGTAAATGTATTTGTAGAGTGACCACCTGCCTATTACCTTTTTTTTTTTTTAAATTTATTTTCTACCCTGACGGGCACAAAGGTACAGGCGATATTGCTCTTACCTATATCTAATTAATCTGGCATATTTATGGGGGGCCGCAAAAACTAAGAGACCATCTCCAGATAGTGCATTGTAGTGTTTTAGGTCGTTAGTGATTTCTACGTAGAGTGACCACCTGCCTATTACCTTTTTTTTTTTTTAAAATTTATTTTCTACCCTGACGGGCCCAAAGGTACATGCGATATTGCTGTTACCTATATCTAATTAATCTGGCATATTTATGGGGGGCCGCAAAAACTAAAGAGACCATCGCCAGATAGTGCATTGTAGTGTTTTAGGTCGTTAGTGATTTCTACATGAGATTGGACTACCCTTAATTTCACAAAAAAAGGTGCTTATATTTTAAATAAAAAAGTACCTATATTATTTGTTATTTTTTTAAATTAAATTCTTTTATTTAAATAAAAACCTGTTGAATCTTGTCTAGACTGATACCAATGAGATTTTTAAAACTAGTCATAAATCAACCACTTTAATTACACCACATGTCAATATGGTCATAAATTAAGCACTTTAATTACAGCCAAAAAGTATCCCATATCGCTTTAATTACATCAAACAGTCAAAGGGGTCATAAATCAATCACTTAATTACCCTGTGTCGGCACTAATCAATCCCTTAATTACCCTGTGTCGGCACTAATCAAACCCTTAATTACACACACCTGTCAAGGTGGGTCATTAATCAATCATTTAATTACCATCTCGTACCACCCCATCTTCTACTAATAATATTGCTCAATACTTTTGCTTTTTATCCATATTCTTATGAAATGCCAAACTAATACCAAATTAATACTAATTTTTTTAAACTTATACCTCGATAACACTTCCCCTTAGAGCTTGAAACCTTATTTAAAATATGACACCTTTAAAAATTTAACGATTGCTGCAACTCAATATAGTGTCTTGGCAACCTTCATAACTTAAAGCATCTTTCATTACGAGGCCTAAAATAAAGTATTCATGTAAACTTTATGAGTAACATTTGAATTTAAGCTAGTCCCTCTTAGTTGGAGGGTCTAACTCAAATCCCCAAAGCATATAAAAAAATGAACCTTTGAAAACCATTAAAGTAAAAAAGCTATAACTCCAACTATTCAATTTTCCCTCTAACTTACACATATAAAGGTTCTAATATAATTTTGAATATTTGCCTATATTAATTTAATTAGGTATAAACCAACATAAAAAGGCACGTTGATTGTTGAATAGTAAACGAGTAATTCGTTTTATATGTAATCAAGCATTTCGATTTGTTAAAAGTTTGGGTGGTTTTCAACACAACACAATTATTTATAATTTCACACTTTTAAGACACTTATTGCTCTCGGAACCCCACATAATATAAAGAACCAGAAATAAGAAACCATAATAAACTTGTGTTTTAATGGCCCAACTTGATTCAAGTTACTTGAAGGCTAAATTTAAATAAAAATGTGTAAAAAAATTATGTACATAATTGTAAAATGCGTGGTATTACCTGATTTTGGTTACATAAATACAACTTGTGCTTAATTATTATCAGAAATATTTTTATTTATAATGATTTATTATTTTAGGTTATGTGATAACTTGGGTGGACATTGTTGCCAACATAAAAATAATACTATTTATATTCCGCAAAATAAATAAAAATAAACTATAAAATAAAGTAAAGAAAATAAAAAATATTAAATAATAATAATATTTCTTTATAAAAGGCCTTATATCTCATTCTGTGGAGGTATAACAGAGATACGACCCTGACTCAAAACTTTCTTCCAAATCGTGTTACCACCACTAACCGATTTAGCAAAAATTACTGTTTTAACGGACCCGTTAAGTTACATCAAGTGGCCGGATGTCCAGCAATCTGTTGTCAGTGTCACAGCATCCACGTCTTTAAGTTCCTAGTTTTTCAATTTGGTAAGCGATATAATGGATTAAGCGCTGATACAAATTTTCCAAATCCAAAGTCTTCAACAACGGAAAACGGTTGAAAATAATGAGTGAAAAGTAGCATTACTGCCTCATCAATTGTTTTTCGGGCAATTACTTACAATTTCTTGTGTAAAAAAGTACCTACTGTTGATTGCAATTTGGCTGGTTTGTAAATAATACTAGACGTTGAGGCTGTTCCAGAAGTTGACGGAAACTCGTCGCCATGTTTTTTGGTATCAACTTTCATCGGTTGAAAAATAATATCTACTTCAGAAGCCGAACTAATCATTGATCTGCTTTCATTTTTATTTTAATTTAATCCAACTAGTGGGTATCCTTTGCATGTTTTCTTAAATTGTTGGAGGATAATTAATAACTCAAATCGCATTTACATACATTGAAAAACGGCAATTTTTTCAGATTTAGGTTTAATTTCAAAGAAGTTCCAAATTTCTGATTTTTTAGCTGATTCTTACAAATAAAATAATTAAGTAATTAAGCATATATTTATTATATGTATATTATATAATTAAAAAACGCTGCTTTTTTAGGCCAATATAATAATTTTACTTACTTCTTTTCGTACGCAAGAGAATGAAGAATCGACAATCGACGTTGTAGTTTTCGTATTTTAATTGCTTATACATGTACTTAAAATTTTCAAGTCTGAATACAATAGATTAACCTCTTAAGGTCCACATTTAGAAGTAAAATTGGGATTAGACTTTTTTGCAAAAGCACTTATAATAAGCAAAAAATACACTATTGCGTCAAAAAAAAAGTTTACTCCAAAATTACAAAAAAAAGTTAGTACGTTCCTAAAACAGTACAAAGGACCAGTTTGTGGTAAAGTGTGGTATCCTGATAAAATCAAAATTCCTACGAAATTGAGTAACTCTGTATGATTAAAATCAAATTCTTGTCAATTGTTATCTCGAGCATATTTTTTAGAGTTCTGAACAATTAGATCGAGGACTTCATCGTCAAAATACATGTAAAATATATCCAAAGGTGATTTTCCTTCTATCTGATTTCTTAGAGATTCAATATCATATATATCCTCTTTTGATACTGGTTGGGAAATACTAACTTTATTTCCTTTTACCCATATTGGTATTTTATTAGCGCAGCTAATTTTTTTGCTTCTAACAATTTTGTCTCTTTTTGTCTATAGTTTCATTGTCAGAGGAATCGTAAAAATCGTCGTCATTTATGTGAATTTCAAAACTACCCGCTATATCCCCACCTACAAAGCCGTTTTCGTTCACTAACAAGTCCTCATCAATATTTTCTTCGTCTGTAAGCTCGTCAACATCAGGCGGAATATAAACAGCATTAATTTCACCTAAAATTAGTAATATTTTGTAGAACTGAAAAGAATATAGAATATTAGTGCATACGTTTTTCATTTTCTAATTCATTTGCAACATCTTCTAGGGCAGCTTCCAATTCTTTTTGAGTCAAATAACTATTCATTTTTATAATATTTTTTTTTCCTTATAGTAATCAAAATAATGTAACAAACTAAATAAATACCCTTACTATGCCGTACAGTGAACGACGATACACGGTTGACCCTAGACAAAACAAGTGTTTGTTTTGGTTTAGGCGGTTGACCTTCTCATAGCCCGGGTATTCACATATCTTACCAACGTTGCGTTTTCGCAACATATAAATTGCGGTCGATTTTGTTTACATCCAGTATATGTTTTTTTATGTTTTTTTACTATGTTTGCCTTCTTTTATCATTCCTATCACCATTTTATAAAAAAAATATTTATTTTAATAACTCTTAGAATTCATAATATAGTATGCATTAGTCTAAGTTACCAACGGGCTTTTTTGTTACATTTTAAACTAATTTTTTTCTATAGAATATTTAAGAGAATCTGTCGTGGATTTTTGTGAAGTCATAAGAAACCTTTTAAAACTAGATTAAGTAATAAAATATTTTTTTAATGTTAACGTCAGAATGTTTAAAAAAAATCGACAATATGGTGGGTAAAAGATGGGTTAAGGGCTTATATTTTCACAGTAATTTTTTTACACCCAAAAGAAACTTTTGAGCCTGTTTGGAAGAAATTTTTTTTTTATTTTTTTTTGAATCACCCTAATAAATATGTATATATATATTAATATGATGTACCTACCTACCTACTTATGTACGAGTATATTATTATTGAATTAAATAGTAAAGAAGTTCTGGAATGAAAAAATAAATAAAATTAACCTTAATTCTGTGAGGGCTCAGGGCTTGTTGTATACAAATATATAAATAAATAACCTTAAATAAAAATTATCTGTTTTTATTGGTACAACTGTTTACTTACATTTAAATCAATTTAATATTCAGTTTGCATTAATTTATTAACAAAATGAAACTAATAACATGTTTTAATTTATCCTAAAAGCAATTTTAAAAATGTAGATTTTAATTTGTATAATATACCTAATATATTATATAAACTAACATTACAATTTTATTAAATTAAATTTAACTTATAGGTATAGGTAGTATACAGCCCATTATAAATTGTACTTATAAATTAACTCCCTATAGCACCACACCCATTTTTATGTTAACTGAATTTTTAACTTAAATTTGTAAAATATGCTTGCTTATTATTGATAATACATTGATATTTGTTGTCAGCATTATAATTATTTTTTATTTATTATTTCTTAACATTTGCAAATGTACCTTTAAAATAAAATGTTCATGAGGGAGAACACAGTAAATAGTGGAATATTATATTATATAATCATTTATTTTAAGGGAACATTCACAAGTATGAATAGTAACTTGTTATTGCTATTCACACAGTATTTTTACTCCACCCGGATGGGCAAGCCTTGAAGAAAGGGTGTATTACCATTGTTTTTATACTACAACATACAACATACAACATAAAATAGGTACACCTATCAAAATTATAAAAAGTAATATTACATTTTCGTCACAAAACTATCTTTTATCTTATACTTAATACATTATAATATTTAAGAATCTAATCATTATTTTAAAGATAAAATATATACAAGGTGTCCCTAACCTTAGTGGCATAAATTTTGGAGCAGATTAAGCAAGTCAAAATAAGACGTAAATCTAAATAAATATTTTTCCTAATTATATATGTTTAAAAGATAGTTTGAGAGGTACACCTTCTTAATGGTAGCCGAACTGTGTAATCTAAAAATTGCATCAAATGTTATAAAAACCTAACCTCAAAGTTTGAATGGGACAATAAGCTCAAAGCAACCCCCGTTTCTGCGACACTGTGTTCACTCAAACAATTATAATTATGTGTGAATATGTGTTTTGGTAGTAAGTGACAGTTCGCAAAATATCACCCTTCCAAGACTACCATAGTAGAGGTTATATTAAAAAAAAAATAATATGATAAGTAACACTTTATCACCCTGTATCGTAGAAACATAACTGAGTAGGAAAAATATTTTGACTTGCTCAATCTTTTCCTAAATTTATGCCAATAAGTTTAGGAACACCTTGTAAAATTTATTTGGGTCATTTCATAACAAGGCGCCAATAATATTGCTCAATACTTTTGCTTTTTATCCATATTCTTATGAAATGCCAAACTAATACCAAATTAATACTAATTTTTTTAAACTTATACCTCGATAACACTTCCCCTTAGAGCTTGAAACCTTATTTAAAATATGACACCTTTAAAAATTTAACGATTGCTGCAACTCAATATAGTGTCTTGGCAACCTTCATAACTTAAAGCATCTTTCATTACGAGGCCTAAAATAAAGTATTCATGTAACCTTTATGAGTAACATTTGAATTTAAGCTAGTCCCTCTTAGTTGGAGGGTCTAACTCAAATCCCCAAAGCATATAAAAAAATGAACCTTTGAAAACCATTAAAGTAAAAAAGCTATAACTCCAACTATTCAATTTTCCCTCTAACTTACACATATAAAGGTTCTAATATAATTTTGAATATTTGCCTATATTAATTTAATTAGGTATAAACCAACATAAAAAGGCACGTTGATTGTTGAATAGTAAACGAGTAATTCGTTTTATATGTAATCAAGCATTTCGATTTGTTAAAAGTTTGGGTGGTTTTCAACACAACACAATTATTTATAATTTCACACTTTTAAGACACTTATTGCTCTCGGAACCCCACATAATATAAAGAACCAGAAATAAGAAACCATAATAAACTTGTGTTTTAATGGCCCAACTTGATTCAAGTTACTTGAAGGCTAAATTTAAATAAAAATGTGTAAAAAAATTATGTACATAATTGTAAAATGCGTGGTATTACCTGATTTTGGTTACATAAATACAACTTGTGCTTAATTATTATCAGAAATATTTTTATTTATAATGATTTATTATTTTAGGTTATGTGATAACTTGGGTGGACATTGTTGCCAACATAAAAATAATACTATTTATATTCTGCAAAATAAATAAAAATAAACTATAAAATAAAGTAAAGAAAATAAAAAATATTAAATAATAATAATATTTCTTTATAAAAGGCCTTATATCTCATTCTGTGGAGGTATAACAGAGATACGACCCTGACTCAAAACTTTCTTCCAAATCGTGTTACCACCACTAACCGATTTAGCAAAAATTACTGTTTTAACGGACCCGTTAAGTTACATCAAGTGGCCGGATGTCCAGCAATCTGTTGTCAGTGTCACAGCATCCACGTCTTTAAGTTCCTAGTTTTTCAATTTGGTAAGCGATATAATGGATTAAGCGCTGATACAAATTTTCCAAATCCAAAGTCTTCAACAACGGAAAACGGTTGAAAATAATGAGTGAAAAGTAGCATTACTGCCTCATCAATTGTTTTTCGGGCAATTACTTACAATTTCTTGTGTAAAAAAGTACCTACTGTTGATTGCAATTTGGCTGGTTTGTAAATAATACTAGACGTTGAGGCTGTTCCAGAAGTTGACGGAAACTCGTCGCCATGTTTTTTGGTATCAACTTTCATCGGTTGAAAAATAATATCTACTTCAGAAGCCGAACTAATCATTGATCTGCTTTCATTTTTATTTTAATTTAATCCAACTAGTGGGTATCCTTTGCATATGTTTTCTTAAATTGTTGGAGGATAATTAATAACTCAAATCGCATTTACATATATTGAAAAACGGCAATTTTTTCAGATTTAGGTTTAATTTCAAAGAAGTTCCAAATTTCTGATTTTTTAGCTGATTTTTACAAATAAAATAATTAAGTAATTAAGCATATATTTATTATATGTATATTATATAATTAAAAAACGCTGCTTTTTTAGGCCAATATAATAATTTTACTTACTTCTTTTCGTACGCAAGAGAATGAAGAATCGACAATCGACGTTGTAGTTTTCGTATTTTAATTGCTTATACATGTACTTAAAATTTTCAAGTCTGAATACAATAGATTAACCTCTTAAGGTCCACATTTAGAAGTAAAATTGGGATTAGACTTTTTTGCAAAAGCACTTATAATAAGCAAAAAATACACTATTGCGTCAAAAAAATAGTTTACTCCAAAATTACAAAAAAAAGTTAGTACGTTCCTAAAACAGTACAAAGGACCATTAGGCCAATACAAGTAAGTTTTATTAAAAACATAATAAAGTAATAATGAAAGGCGTCAATAAAGTGAAAAAACAGTCTAAGATACCATTCTATATCTTAAAGTTATTCTGTAGTGTTTGACCATATTTGGGCGGCTTACATCAATCTTAGTTTTGGTAGTTCCGTCAAACCTTTTTACAGTATCCACTGGTTACGCTTCGGAAAATGGGCTGGCAAGGCGAACACTTTTGTTGTCAAACCATTGGAGTACTCTTACTTATCATCATTAGCAACTGTTGAACTCGTCAAATGTACGTTTCTTTATTGCTTTGTCAGAGGAAAGAGTAAGTCCTGGGTTTCTATCTTTTCTAATTGTTCCCAAAGTAGATATACCATCCCAATGAAAAACCGTTATTAGTTTTATCGAGGTAAAACATAACAAATGATTTTGATAGGTAGGTATTACAGACGCAGGATAATGTTTCCGCTTGCACCATTATCTTCTTTTCCGGGGACAGGTAAAATGTTACCTGTATAAGCTTCGAAATTGTGGATCAGTGGTTTATTTGGGTTGTATTGTTTCAATGACGACTGTCCTTTATAAGGCACAATTTGTTCATCGACACAAAGCATCTGGGGCTTTTGCTGATTGGTAAATTTTTCTTGCAAATTATCTACAACAGGTCGAATTTTAAATAGTTTGTCGTAGCTTGGGTTATTTCTGTCCTGTGGTAGTTTACTGTTAGTATTGAAATGCAAATTCCTTTTTATGATTTTCCATCTTTTCCTTCCCATAAACTTTGCACGAAGCTTGCCAAAACATCCTGCTGCGAGGAAGGCCAAACACTGACATATACACCATAGTTCGAAAGAAAGTTTCCAACTCCTTGCTCGTTAGGCCCAACGGTTTGTTCGGATTTGTTTGAATGGAATACAGATTGCTTTGTGTGACTATGTGTTCTAATAAATCATCAGTAAAAACATTTTGAAATAATGAATAGGCTGGCTCATCTTTTTTATGGAGTGGGATAAATTGTGGTATAGGTAGGGATCCTTCATTTTCAAATACTTTGGTCCATTTGAATTCCTTCTTTTTTGTTTTGACATCATTTGGTATAGCCTTTTTCTTTTTTCTTCTCCTCTTAGTAGAAGTAGAGGCTGTAAGCAAATCTCCGTCATCATCAGTTAAACTGTCATCTGTATCTTTCTGGGTATCTTCAGATGAACTTGACTTAGTTTCTGGTATCACAAAGTCATCACCAGAATCAGAATCTTTCAGGTTTTCATCCTCACTGCCGTATCTCACCCCTAACAATAATAAAATCTGACAAAAAAAAAACAAAATTTCACTTATAATAAATATATGACCAGTGTTCCAAATTAGAACCATACTAGTTTGACCTTATGGACCAATGTTCCACATAAGGAACACTCCGTATTTATATCATTTCGGCAACAAATTTTTCAAAACACCAAAATGTATGCGGTATACAGGTGAAATTCTGATTTTTCGGGACTCTTGAAAGCATCCAATGCTCGTTGCCAGGTGCAGAATCCCTTGTCCATAAAAACTGCTTTTGCACGCAAAGCGTGATGCCTTTTTATCAAAAATAAGAACTTGGCAGCTGCTTGTGTACAAACAGAACACACGCTTATCCTCGTCTGAAGATACTTCGAGCCACAAAAACTGTGTTTTTCACTTTTCTTGAAATGAACTACCTACACTTTAAAATAAAATAAATTTAATGAAAAGCGCAAAAAACTTAAAAAGGAACCTTTTTTGGATTTTATTCTTTTTTGAGTAATTGTATTAAGGACAACCACAGCCTCATCCACGCTTCCACTTTCTGATTCCGAAGCCAAACTATTACTCGCATCAGCATCAGTCACTGATACTGTTGCATCAGTCGTTTCTGCCGTAGTCGATTTGGCCCCAGGGTCGTGAATATTTTTTTCCTTATCTATTTCTTTTGCATTATACGGTCTTCGCAGCCAGTTCTTCATAAAGCCCTCCATTCTCCCTTAACTATCGGGTTACCCCGTCTTATAAGCTATGAAAACATAAAAAAATAGTTGCAAACTTGTGATTATTATAATTGGTTAAAAACAAATCACGTTATCGCGTAAATAATTTTTTGTTGAAAAATCCGTAGCTTTGTTATTATAAAAGACACAAAGTCAGTTTTTCATCTTTCCTGTTTATTTATGCTAACAATAAAACTTTTATTATAAATGTGATATCTGTGAGTACAGGTCATACAAGGAAACACGAATATATAATTATGCTAGATATATTCTCTTCTACGGTGTACAACGTACTGCCCGTGCTCTGCAACAGGAAATCCCTGCCGTGATTTGCACAGCCGCAGCATACATTACTTAATACATTACATATTTCCCCCCTTAACAGTTAACAATACTTAACCTGTTTAATATTTCGTTTAGACCTCCTTAAAACTAAATCCTTCTTAATATTACTATTTACAATCTTATCACTATCCCTCTCCCAGTCTTTATTAATCGCATTGTCTTGCTCCTCTACTATGTCCTTATAAACTAACTGATTCGAATCACTGTTTATATCGTTTTCACTACTTTCAACACTGACCCCAAGCTCATCACCAAACTCTTTTACCGATTTTATGGAGAAGTCATAAAAATCTAAAATCTGATTAATATGCCTCCTCCATGTCTTGTTCATCCAGGAAACCTTATTTGGGTTTATATAATCTCTTACAGCCACTGTATCCCTAGGCTCAAAAAGGATAGACCTTTTTCCTTTAAAATTGCTTATTTGTTTTTCTTGTCCTTTTTTTACTCTACTTACTAGTTTGTCATTTACATTTGATTGCACCGTCTTATTATAACTACTATTTCCGTCCAGCAAATCCAAAACAGTACTTACTCTCCTTCCTAACATTATTTATACCGGAGCTAAACCAGTAGAACAGTGCGGAGTAACCCTGTATGATAATAAAAAGTTATTTAAAACTAGATTAAAATTATCCCCACTAATCTCTTCATTGATACATTTTAACAAAGCATGTTTTATCGTTTTAACGCTGTTTTCCGCTTGTCCATTTGAAGGATGAAATGGAGGAGAGGTTTTAAATTTGATTTTATTTAAAAAACCTTTGAATTCGTCTGAACTGAAATATTTGGCATTATCTGAAACCAGACACAACGGTAGTCCAAACCGTGCAAAAATACTTCTTAAACTTCTTATAACGGTACAAGACTTCATGTTGTTTGTGATTTCAGCTTCAAGCCACTTGAAGTGTGCATCTACAACGACCAACACGTAATATTTTCCCAAAATCGGACCTAGAAAGTCTATGTGTACTCTGTCCCAAGGCATTTTGGGATATTCCCAAGGAACTAAACGCGATTTTGGAGGTGTACTACGTGTTAGCTTACATTTATTGCACGATTTAATCATATGTTCAATATTCTGGGGGCACCATACATATAAGCGAGCAAGGGATTTGGTTTTAACCATTCCTATGTGAGAAGAGTGAAATTGCTTTAAAATTCTATTTCGTAATACATATATTTGGAATCACGACTTTATGGCCCAACATTATGCACCCTTTTTCAACTAATAATAAATTTTTAAAATTTTTGTATGGTTTGAACTCTACTGAAGTTTTCCTGGCCATCCCTGTATTATAAATTGTTGTAACTGCTTTAAATGTATATCTTTATTCGTTTCCCTACCTATCAAAGAGCAATCAACAGGCAAATCTTTGTTTTCCGCAATAAAATTGAAGTAAGCAGACTCGACGTCTAACTCTCTTAATTCTTCTTGTAGGGGTAACCTTGACAAACCATCAGCCAAGTTGTCTTTTGTGTTTATATACTCGATGTCGTATTTATAATTTTGTAAGATTAAAGCCCACCGTTAAAGACGATGTGGTGTTAAAATTGGAATACCTTTTTTAGGTCCAAACAACGCTACGAAACATTGTGCATCCGTCCTTAGTTTAAATTTAAGCCCATATAAATATTGGTAAAACTTTTTAATTATAGCTAAGGCTTCCTTTTCTACCTGTGAATAATTTTGTTGGCTTTTTGTTAATGTTTGAGAAGCTGTTCATCTTGCACCTACCCCATAAAACGAACTATTTACCGTTAAAATAGTGGGTAACTTTGGATTGAAGTGTACTAAAACTCCCTCAGAACTTAAAACTTTTTTAACTCTTTTAAAAGATTCCCTGCAGCCCGTAGACCAAACCCCTTTCTGTAATAACTTATGCAATGGTTGAAACAAGGACGAAGCATTTGGTATGAATTTGTTATAAAAATTAACTAATCCCAAAAAAGACTTTAATTGAGTGACATTAATAGGCTCAGGAACTATTGCTTCCACTTTCTCCTTGCATTTATGTAGTCCATCCTTATTTATTATGAACCCTAAATATGTAACTTGTTTTTTAAAAAACTCACATTTTTTTATTGAAATTGTTAATCCATTTAAACTTAGCCTTTCCATAACCTGATAAACCCTATTTACATGCTTTTCTCTTGTTGTTCCCGTTACTAAAATGTCATCTAAAAATACACAAACCCACTTTAAATTTACTAAAACTTGCTCCATTATTTTTTGAAACAAAGCAGGTGCACTCGAAATCCCAAAAGCTAACCTATTCTGTACAAACAGCCCCTTATGTGTACTTAATGTTAATTGTACTGATTCCTCATCAAGTTTTACCTGTTGATAAGCCTGTGATAGGTAAATTTTAGTAAATTCAATTCCCCCTTGTAATTTAGTAAACAATTCCTCAATACGAGGTGAAGGGTACTTTTCAATTTTTAATACAGGGTTTACCGTTACCTTATAATCACCGCATATTCTAATTGAGCCATCCTTCTTTACTACTGGTACAATTGGTGTTCCCCAGTTGCTATGCATGACAGGGCGAATAATGTTTTGGCTTACCAGTCTATCTAACTCAACCTCAACTCCACTTCTCAATGCAAATGGTAATGCCCTAGGTTTGAAAAATCGGGGTGCTACCCCTTCCTTTACCTTCAAATGTACAGTGCCCCCTGAGTATGTGTCGTACCTAGGCTGGTTATGGCCTTAAGTACTTCACCAAGTTTCCTCTCTGGTTGACTCTTCAGATATAGAGGAATACCTACCTCGGGTTGCTTTTATTCACTGGAGAAAGTAGGGTTTATAAAAATCAGTTAGGGTTGGTGGTTTAATTTAAAATGCAAAAGTAAACTTAAACTGGTTTATTTACCAATGTAAAAGTATGTACAAAATTATATTACAATTATATATACAGTATTTACAAGTATCGTAGACCATGAACACAAAGGTTCTTTCATAGCCTTTAGTCAGGACAGGCAAATGTTCCAGGGCTTTTCACAGGCAACTGGCAGGCACGGGCGTGGTTTTCAGTCCTACAGAGAGACAGATTTGCAATTGGACTCTAGTGGAAAAATACATGTTGTTAGTTTATGTTTTATGCATACAGGATTTACAGTTTAATTAACTCTGTTATTAAAGCTTAATATTATACGGCTTAAAGCCCTGAGATATTAAAAACAGGTTAACTTACTGTTAATATTCCACTGAGAGTTCTCTGTGATTTAGTGGTTGGTTTTCGGGCTCACAATTGGTAACACCATTTGGAATTGAGCCACCAGACGACTGATTGTCCATTAGAAAATGCAGCGGTTTTATAGACGAAATTCTGATGACAGACTTGATGAAAAACAATTGGGGCCGTGTGAAATAAATCCTTCACACGGGCCGTGTGCAACAAGTGTTGACAACATATATGCGGTTGACAGCTGTCCAAGCGCCATCTGTTAGAGTTCCGTCTAACTGCAGGTTTCTGGTAGTCCAACTCTTTCCTTGACGTCGGGTAGTTAGGAAAATCGTCTCATAGATGTCGTAATGTGTATCGTTACAAGTATTCGCCTAAAACATTTGAAAACACTTTAGAATATTTTTCCCGAAAAATATTAGAAGAATAACTTCTAAAATAACACTTATCTTTGACATGGTTGTCCTTTCCGCAGACAACACACGTTGACATTTTGCCGAAATTCCTCCCACCAACGCTTGCGCCTTCATTCCATCGACGACCATGCGCTTCTGACTGCGATGTTGCCGGTTCACTTACTTGTAGCACATACGCCGGTTTATTCTTTATGAAAATATTTCCTGCTTCACTTTGAACGCTTTTTTTTCGTGATAACACCCAGCGAATTCTACAGCATTCTCCAAGGTTATCGTTGCCTTTTCTTCCATTAATCGGTCCAGCATTTTACCATCGAGACCCATCATAAATTTATCGCTTAACACTACGTCTAATTCCACGCCAAACTCACACTTCGATGCTAACTGCCTTACTCTCGCCGCCCAATCGTTCACCGTTTCTTCAGGGTTCTTTGTAGCATTATAAAATTTATACCGCGCCGGAAAAGGACTTGACAGCGGCTTAAAAGGCTTGTCCAAAGCAGCAACCAATTTAGCGTAGCTTTTTGTTTCTGGCGCATTCGGGAGACTTTGACCATGCACAATTCTATAAGCTTCTTCGTCCAAAGCGTTCAGTAGCAGGGCCTTTTTGATTTTTTCTTCTTGAATGTCATTTGCGATAAAATATTGCTCCAATCGCGCGTTAAAAATGAACCAGTCACTCGTATCGGACTTAAATTCCCGTATAGTTCCGAGATTCTGGGCACGTGGTGTCGTTTCTACCTATGCTTCTCTTCCTAACTCCAATTTATCTAGTAAATCTCTATCATCCCATCCTCATCGCAACTGTGATATCTGTGAGTACAGGTCATACTAGGAAACACGAATATATAATTATGCTAGATATATTCTCTTCCAAGGTGTACAACGTACTACTGCCCGTGCCCTGCAACAGGAAATCCCTGCCTTGATTTGCACAGCCGCAGTATACATTACTTAATACATGACAATAAAGAATTATAGGACTGGCATATTCTGATTTACTTTTTTGGATGACTCCATTACTTAAAAGTTCATCAACTAT